GTGAAAGTAAATGGACTTACAAGGCCGTATATTTTTCCACATCAGCAAGTCTCGCTGCTCCGTCACCTTCTTGAACAGTCTCATCCTCTTCGTGCAAAACAGTCCCAGTAGGGCTTGATTTTTCATCAGGCTGAGCCTGTCGTGCGGTCGATATTGCTGCCCTAAATTAGCGGAGTTTTAAAACGTAAGAAGTGTTCTTCAAATTTGCTCCAGCGCAGTAAGCAACTTTTTGAATAGAGCCGAAAGCAGAGTCAGAATGTGAGTTTAATCTTGAACATGAGTAGTTTTTCTAGTTGTTACCAAGAGTACCAAAACACCTGGGCAATTGATTTGAGGATTTCACGCTAATAATGCTATTTGAATGCTTCCTCAGGCCGGGCGTAGCTCCTATGCTCCTGTATCCTGGGCGTAAAGGTATGTCAACGTAAAGGTAAAGGTACGTCGATTTGGGAATCTACAAATCCAAAAGCACCGAGCAATGCTGTCCCCAGTTTCTTGAGTGTCCCGTTTTTTTGTCTCCTGTTTGCTGACCTTGGTGTTCTACCCAGAATCTTTTTGTAGTACTTAGCAGCAAGTGTTTTCGCTTGTACTGTCATTGTGGGGGGCCTTATATTATTAGTAGTGTTACTGGGCTTATTTGTACGCCCGGAACAGCTGTGTAGCAGTTCTTTCTCTTCCAGAAGACATAACTGAGTTCAGTACTAATCACCAGCATGACCTTTTGTTGTGGCGCCGATGATAAAAATATTCAAAAGTTTTAGAAATTTAAACGTCTCAAACAATTTAAATAATAAAGTTCACAACCTATTTCTATTATTTAAAATCCCCGGGCTGTCTGAGTATTTCCTGTTAGTAATGTCACTAGCATGCGCCCATACGCCGAGCGCAGCTAAGCCAAATATATTTCTCAGTTAGCTGATATCTGCTTCTGACATCCTTATATTTCTGTTCAAATCTAATAAGTAATTGCCAATTAACATCAAAATCAACTCTGAAGTGAAAAACAGAAATTTACGGCAAATTTCCTGAAACTATGAATTCGACGTATCTGTGCTGCTGGATGTGTGTGTGTGTTATACTTGTTGAGCAAATGTGCGTCGAATCAGAACCGGAAACCTACCTTTTAATAGCTGATGATAAATTTTTCGGTAGATTGGAGCCGGCAGCGGCACGATCTGGCATAAATATCGGTTTTCCGTCGTGTGCTGCTGCCTTTGCTCGTTGGTATTGCAAGTAGCAATGGATGTTGTAGATGAATAAAATAGCATAGCCGAGGAAGAATACCCTAAAAAATATGGGAACCATTGTGTGCTTAGCTACAGTTGCCGATAAATAGCAACGTGCACCAGACTAACGGTGCGACCATGCGTTTTGCGCAAGTCAGCTCATTGAACGATTGCTATTAATGATTTTCACTGCTTTGTACTTTTGTCTATGCAAAAATAGTTCAAACATTGGAAAACAG